CAAAGTTTGATGCAAAAACGCATGATCGCACCGGCTCGCCTGGTGCGTTCCAGCCTGGGTTAATTTAAATTTGTTCACGAGCAGGTGTCCAGTGTTACGACTGTTTTGTCACCGGTAAAGCGCTCAGATCACTGCAGATGTACTGCAGAATTTGCGTGCAGTAATAACTGCAGAACGCAGTGAACTTGTTTAACAAGTAACAATGTGTTTGTGTTATCAGATAGTCTCAATAATGCAATGCTTGTGAATTCCGTGAAATACCGAGACAGCTGTTAATTTATAGCACGCTTCTCTTTCTCTCCTATTCGCAACATCTCTAGTTTCTACATCGCCTAGTGGTCAGTTCACTTCAACTTCTACACTTCTTATTGGCTCAACGGTTCTCCCCATCGATGCATTTGTCTTGTTTGGCTTTAGCCGTTGTGAATCATCCTTGGTTCGTTTTCGACATTGCTGCCTTGTCCTAACGACTATGAAGTATCGCACTGACTAGGGAAGCACAACACTCTGGCACTCACAATAATACGATCCAAGACTTTTCTGTTGTGAGTAGAGCAGGTAAACGTTTATGGATCCTGAAGGCCTTTAGTCTTTGATTCACAAATTGATTGCGTCTCGCTCACGTTACAATACTCATATTACAATATTTTTTAGGGTATAATTTCTGAAAGGGGCTAAAATATGTCGTTTCCGACTTTATCCACATAGAAAATGGTGGTTGGAGCAAGTAGTTCTGCACGCAGCTTCAGGCTACGCTGCAGTTTTTGGGAAGCTTTATACGATACTTTCGGCATATCCTCGCTGGAAACGACTGTGTCGCGGACGGAATCTTGTTCTGTAAATGGGTATGAACCAGTTGGAAATCGAAGTATGCGTCTTCGCACCTGGATGAAACTTGCTGAACCATCGCACACCCACCATTATAACCCTGCGAGAAGCCTAGGGAGAGGCAACTGCGAAAACCCGAACCTAAAAGTGGGTGCACATTGGGTAGCTAAGTCCCCTTCAGCATTGAGTTCCATGCTGAGTGTAAAAAAACCCATTGGCCCTAAACCCTGCCTGCTTCCAATTTCCAGCCAAAGTTCTTCCACACAGGATAAAGCAGGGTTCCCCACTGGGTGAGGGGAGTGGGTAGGGAGGGAGACTCACATATGCTATGTGAATATACCCTGGAATCCAGTCGGGGTCTCACCATCCGGACAGTCATGGTGGGTGACCCTGCAAGTGCACTGTAGTAGTGTCCGATCCAAACTGGAGGACAGGTGTATGGATACCGTAATAAAGATTTAAATTCAGTGGTGTATGGGGCGCGGGAGACGGTAGTATGATGACCAACGAATCGCTTTTCGCCAAATTCGGAGGAAGTAAAGTTCGATTCCCTCGGGCTTGTCCATAAAATCGCAAAAAGAATTCCGTTTGCGATGCATCGGAGAGGCAATAGCCACTTTGAAATAGCTGGTTTTATTTCGTTCGTGTCGATACAACCTAATAACATGGCGAGAGAATCTTAGTGACCAAAAAGTATCCAGAGGATTGGATTTTGGCTATATGTAAATTATTGGGTGGTTCGGTTTGGGAGATTATAAAAGGATAGAAACAAATGATCGTGAGTTGTTATTTGGTTCAGTTCAGAAGAGCGCGGGGCGGTGGGATGATCAAGGCGCTACAAGTTTTCCTGTTCCCGTTTCTGGCCCTTATCACTGGCCTGGTTTTGGATGCTACAAATCAGCGTATCCGATTTCTCCGTATACCGGATACAATTCTCATTTTCTTATTTGCACTTGGCACAAGGTTTCTTCTTTAGTTTGTCCAGCTTTGCGACCCATTCGTAGTATCCCGCCGTTGTTTCTGGATATTGTAAAATTGTACATCTGTGTATGCTTTAGTATTTTGATCAGCCGCAATTCACTGCTGTCCCTTATGCTCTGGCCAAATTTGTTTCGCCTGACGTCAACTTGTTCACGCTCCTTTCGAAAAGATTGCTAACTCATCGGTTCGCCTGACTGAAACACTTGGCAAGGTTTTTTATTCCTTGTTGTGGTTTCAGCAGCAAAAACTTCAGGTTTCGAATGTTCCCACTCTAAACGGAGGTGAGGTGCCGTACCGAGTAGAAGGATCTCTAAGAATAGATAACTGAACTGAAGCGCTATAAAGGAAAATTGGAAAAAATATTCCCGGTCTGCTCTGTGAATTCAACTTGAAGAAAATGTACCGAAAATATAAGCGAAATTCAACTCATGATCCAGACCTCTCTCCTTTCTTTTGTCTAGAATATTCCAAAAGTTTGTGTAGCACCATTTTTTCCTGTAACAAAGACATCTTTTCAGTTTTGTTCTTCACTTATTTTTCCCGGAGAAACTGATGGCCCATATTGATGAGACATACACATGGAAGACTGTTCAACCGGGCATTGTTGTTGGGGTAAAGCACTAATCATTCGCTTATCAATAAAATACCTAAATTTTCATTTGGTGACGAATGCGTATTTAATAGGAGCGCTGAATTCTACCCACGGCAAATGTTTTTTAACAGAAATGCTTCACATATAATTTAGGCAGGATTTGAGGCACACTATATGTAATACCAATAACAACCGTCGTATGTAATATAATGCTCTCGATCAATTGCAGTCGTATGATTAACAGCGGGAATATCAAAATATCAGGATTGGCTGAGTTACTGTGTGGTAGTGATGTTACCAAAATGTTTCTATACGTCGGGCCCCTCAATCCTGGATTGCATATCTCCAGTGAATATTCATTGTCTCTTTAATGTACTCGCACCAGCAGTTCATCAGAGATAATAATGAATTAAGTTAGTATTCACTGGCTTGAGCTGATAGTCTAGCAACAGTGGTGGAGATGAAAAAAACTACTTTGGTTCAGCCTTGTTCTGGTAAGATGCGGGATGAAGATGAATTAGGTTTGCTTCAAACACAGAAAGGTAAAAAAGAATTGACAGCCGGTCGATACCTGGCACAATCTCAAGAATGTTCAAGAACTGGAAAATGACCAATGCTTGTTGTGGACAAGAATACATCTTAAACTGTCTCATTAAAAGGTGTCGCACGCAGTCGATTATCTTGAAAGATCCCGGAAAACCGAGGAGAGAGAATGCAGTAATAGGCTAGAAATACGGCTGAAATATCGTGTTCATTTACTAAGATTACAAGTATTTCGTTGATGGGCTTCCTGGATCGCAAAACAAACGAAGTGCACTCAACCACTTGACGAACAAATTAAAGGGAAGCAATTTCTCAGCGCGAAAATACTATCGACGAGAAGGAGCAGGAAAAGGTAAAAACTGAAACGCAAGATATCCTCTTCCTTATAGACATATTAGATAGGAGCTGAAGGACGAGAATCTCGAGAACTGCAACCATTGGCAGCAGAGAAGTGGAGGATGAAGATGTGCGGGCAGAGTTGTTGCTGTACCACTCGAGCAGGGCGGGGCTGTTGCTATACCTGAAAATGACAGCGATGAGAAATGAAAACAATCGAATTCGCAAAATGGGTCGAATAGATGTGAAGAATGTCTGTAGAAAGCAGTGATTTCCAGGAATTCCCTCCTGTGCTTATTAGTGAGTTAAGACCATAATTCTCCAAACGATAAGGGCCAAAGATTACAAAATTTGGAAAGCTTCTGCCAGTCGATTAGGTACATGCTACTCCCAAGAAGCTTCCCAGCAAATGTGTATGGTCGATACTATTTTACAGCAAAAAAGACCATAAAAAAACCCAGGTTGGAACGCATCAGACGAGCCGGCGCGATCATGCGTTTTTACATCAAACTTGAAGTAATTAGGTTAAATGCACGAGCGGTTGTTTCTTCACACCTATCTTGTGAGCTCAGTACCGTAAATCATCGAAAATTTTGCATAGGAGGAAATAAACAATTTCTGTTTAGCGGTCGTTTTTTGAAAGTGACCTAGCTGTTCAATGAGTAATTTTCTCGTCAAAAATTTATGTGCCCGTACAGGAGAACCACGCGTTCAAGGAGACTGAATTTGAAGCCTTTAAGTTTTACTTCGACGAGGAATATTCTCCTAAAATCTCAGCTTTCCAGCCTTTCTGGTTCCCGAGTTAGTAATTTCCTCGTCAAAACTTTCACAGGATCGCAAGTGACCTAGGAGCATACCTGGAAGCTGGGTTTGGAATTTTTAAGTTGTATGCGGGCTGGAAACATCTCTTTAAAATTTTACCCTGACAGCTTTATTAGTTCCCGAGTTAGCCATTCTCCCGCCAAAAAATTTCACGGGGCCGTATGTGAGAACCACGTACAGCTGGGGACTGAATTTGATAGGTTAATGTTGTACTTATGCTGGGAGCATTCCTTGAAAAATTCAGCCTCCCAGCGTTCCTGGTTCACAAGCTAGCGGTTTTCGCGTCAGGAATCCTCATGGGGCTGTACGCGGGGACCACTGCATCTGGAGGCTGAATTTGAAATTTTTGAGTTATATTTAGACGATGAACATAACCTCGGAATTTCAGCTTTCTATCTTTTCTCGTCCCCGAGTTATCAATTTTCCCCTCAAAACTTTCACCCTCTTGTACGCAGGTCCCAGACTTGCATGAGGTTGGTACCGCGGATCTGGGGTGGTACTGAGCCAGGGAACCCACTAGCAAAATCTTGGCGCTGGAACTTGCTTGTTTGCCGAGTTGAAATACCCGGACAGAGGAACACACACAAACATGCACACAGACAGGGTCGTTGCAATACGCGTTTTTGCAATCTACATATAGGCAAAAAACGCATATTAGAAAGCTAATGTCTGATCTTCTACTTCCTGATATTTATAAACTGCTTACGAAACTTATCATGACTGACTAATAAGACGAGCAGCCCAGAGAACCTGCTAGATTCACAAGAAGTTACATTACGATGAATTACATTTTCGTTCGAAAACAGCTGTCGGGAAGTGCAAGGAAGTACCATCATCGTCCTCTATTTGCTAATTACTAAAAAGCATTAGTGCGAAAATGGATAATATGCTATGAGCTCTTGTCGTTGAAGGAATTGGTGCGAACTACGTGTGAACTGTCAGGGAAACGTACAGAGAGCGGCAGTACTTTTTTTCATTCCAGTCTGTTGAGATGAAAGTGAAGCAGGCTGATCCCATTTCGCTCAGCTTTTCACGGCTTCTTTCTAATTCGTATTTTGTAAGCTGGATTTAAACGGTAACCTGAACATTAACGGCAAGCAGTTTAACCACCTTTTTTTCGAGGGCGACATATTTCTTATTTGGAAAGAATAATATTTAGAAGAGGTTGTTGGATTGTGCAAATTTCACAGCATCGTTGGTTTCCTCAAAAAGCCGAAGTGGAAGGTCTGTGCCTGCCTTTCAAGTATCATTATGCTGAACGCAGTAACGTACTAGTAAAAGCAGAATAGCAAATGCTGGCTGTGACGGAGAGAGTGCTGCAGCGAAGAATGCTTGGGGTCTTATAAGTAGTCACACTCTGCTGTCGAAAGTGCGGTACACGAGACACCACTGCGGCTACGCAGAGCAGTTACTGGCACTCGGCTCGGCCATTTTGAGAGGCGAGTTGTGACGAGTGACAGTAGAGAAAGGTGATAAGAAAAAGGGTAGAGGTAGTAAAAGCAGAAGGAAAGAAGGGATTTCTGGTCTCGGGAGTTCGTAATAGATGGTAAGGATTATTGGATGAGAAGGGGTTGAGAGTTGCTTGGAGGGAGGGACGCAGATTATGGGGGAAACAGTGTATGGGTTTACGATGTTCCACAAGAAACTTGTTGCTGAGAGTGCGCAACACCTGAAATTTCACCAAGACAAATAAAAACCCGTACTTGCGCGCGATTGCGAGTTTCGCATTTTGCACAAAAGAGCACGTACTGAGCGACTGAGTCCAGTCAAGCTGTAGTAACCGCTTACACAGAAAATAAAATCTAATAAATAAAGCATGCCGCTGGCTGTGCAGAAAACCAGAGAATGCCGTGTATTACGAGGGATACCTGCAAAAATTTAAACGACTACTCAGGCGGTTTCTGGAATAGTCAACTCTTCTATGAAAGCGTGCAGTGCAGAATCGAAATACCTGAGATAGCTGCACCCCATGTGAAGAAACACTGTAGTAGCATTCTGGCATGGAACCTATTTGTCCCGGTTCTCTTGATATTTTTGACATATAAGTGATATAACAGCGTGAGGCTTACCACATATAAATTTTTTTGGTGAACCGTCAAATTCTTTTTTAGGTCCTCCTACCGGTGCTTATATTCGAATCGGCAGTAAAAAGCAATTCGCACTTATTTTTCCGCAAGCAGTGGCTTCTGTTCGCGATGACCGGAACAGTATATTCATTAACATTAATGCTCTACACCGCGCTGATGCTGCCGTTTCTGCGTATCATGGACAACTGGAATGTGTTTACGGTTGGTGCTACTGTACTAGACTAGCAACAACTGCACCATTTACTACCTTTATGCGTTTTTTGCAGCTATGCAATGCAAAAACGCATATTGTCGAGGGGTTGTCTGTGTGTGTG